TTGAATTCAATTATCTCCACCGTTATGTCTTATATAAACCTTTTGTGGTGTATATACCGTTAATAACGGCGACTGACATTGAGAGCACATTCTCTATATATCTATAACATTAAGATTGTGTGTAATCGGAGAATATATGGTTAAAAAATATTTGTTTTATTACTTATTTTTCTTTGAATATATTAAAATTTGAAATACAATACACTCGATATAATATTTAACTAATACTTTTATTACTCTATATTTTATGGCAATCGTTTACAATGCGATTACAAATAAATTACATATTAAAAATACACCAGAATGTATTTATTATTGTGACCAATTCGTTTGGGAATTTAATTATAAAATCAGCAAAAAAAGTAAATAAATTGCCATTTAATCAGCGACGCCTAACCCAATGTCGATTGACCCTGGCACTAATTGATAGATAACCGATATTTAGCCGCACATATATCAGCTCATTTGCGGTGATTGAATGGACTTTCAAATGCAAATTGACTTCTGGAGAGAAACCTTTTATACAGTATATATATATTGTATGATATAATCCGTTATAACAAACTATACAACGGTTTTAAAAAACTTAAAGTGTCTTAAATGACACAAAATTACTCCTTTCTGTGCACTTATAATTCATTTTGATAGACACCCTGTGAAATATACACACAACACACACTAAAAAAAGTGGAGTGCCCTCCAAAATATAACATAATGGTAACTTGACGTACAGTTTCATAATCTAAATACCAATTCAATTAAGCTAACGGTGAGGGGTAGCTGTTGCTAGCGCCAATTAATTTCTTATCTCGGATTACATAATAGCACACAAAAAACACATCAATTTATTTATATACATGTATTATATATATACGTGTATACATCGTACAGTATAGTGTGTAATATATTAAGTGATATAAAACTGCATTTTTAATATATGAAGCAAATTGTGTTTTAGACATAACAGACACACCACTTGACATCCCAGCGGCTAATGTGTACTTAAAATCGCATCAATTGTGCCCGATACTATTGAGTCGATTGACTTGCAAATCATTTGTTATTTCGTTTTTTTCGCTAAATTTATTTATAGATTTTTTTCTATGTCGGCTAATACTGTATTTAAAAGTAATTTTCTCGTCTATTAACAGTTTTTTTGGAAAGTTAAGCTTAAGTTTAGGGCCTTTTAGTGCTTTAAGTACTGATAATAACATTAAGTTTTCTTAACTCACATTTAAAATTCAATTTTCAAACCCTAGTGTTTATTAATAGAAATTATATTTACGTAAGACTCGCATATGAATATAGTGAATTTATATATACTATACTACTATGTATAACCTTTTGTGTGCGGACAGCTATAAGCCAGGACTTACTGATTAATTATCAGTAAAAGCTTTTTCCGAGCACTCAATTGATTAATGATTGAAACAATAGTTAAGCTCTTGTTCTGGTCATAACTGGTTCACCACTCGAGCCATACATTTGTCTAATGTTTGCGATGCCTTTTGTGGCTTTTCTCCAGCATTTGAGTCGTATATATATTCTCCAGTCTTTTCTTATAGCCTTTTTCACATGTAATTAATGTTAATTTAATTTGACTCCCAATTCCCCTAATGATTTCACAAACAGTAAAAATTCAATTAAACTCTCAAAACAATACTCATGTGATATCTGTTGGCTAACCCCGTCCAATAAATATCAGCGATCAATACATTGTATTCATAACTGTGTGTCGAGAATATTCTGGTAAATTTGTGTGACTGCTATACACAACCCATTCAAATGGATTTATTATTTACTCAATACTTCTCATTCAACTGTTGATTATAGCCTACAATAATATAATAACGTTATTATCCGATACTCAATGTGTGATTAATAATAACTTATTATTCTTCCTGAAAGTCAAGTCTCAATAGTAAAAAGGCAAACAAAATATTAGTTTTTTTATCTAAAACTTTGTGTTACGATGTAGTATTGAATTTTGAAAAATACCCTACAAATCCTATTTTCCAATTGTGTGTCTGTGCCAGTATACGTGTTCACTGGGTTTACGATTTCCATTAATATTAAATATGATTACCAAACAATCATGAGATAATATTTAAATCGTAGGTCAGTATCACTATTATTATCAAATATTTATGATATTCTACGAGTTTATATAAATATAGAGTTTGTATATTAATTGAAAACCAAATTTATGCTCAATTATTAGATGTGATTATAATAACCCCCTATAAAAACTGCACTACAATAGCATTAATTCGCTTAATACATGTCCGCATAATAAGAAATCATTTGAGAAAAAGCAATTTTGATGTGTATTTAATAGCCGTTTATGCTAACCATTGATCTCAATCAGCAAACTATTTAGTGGTGCCTATGCTATGCCATACAAATGGGGAGATAATTAGTGCACACAATACTTCTTATGGCATCATATAATCGATGCATTCATTTCCCTCATTGCACTTCATTTGCATCTCAACTGCACAATAAATATATGCCTTTCGATGGCATCAATTACAGCCGACTCCATGTGCTGTCACCGTATCCCTGACCTAATCTTCTAGTGACCACTAATCGCAAGTATGTGTGCATATACTTGGTCTTCACTACTCGTGCTGTTTGTGCCGTTCATATCATAAGATTTTTGTTGAATGGTTAGGGCGTTCACTAGATATTACAATTATAGGGCAGTCGATGGGAAATATTAGTGAAATGTATATTATATATGTATTTCATAAGAATATAATAATAATAATAATAGTAATAAATTAGCCAAGAAATCGTATTAAATTGTGTGCATTTGTTTTCTTATTACGAGAGAGAGAGAGAGAGAGAGAGAGAGAATTATTTATACTATTTGCTTAGCTTATAAAATAGCGAATTTAATATATTTGCTAAAGGGTCGGATATCTAATGGGTGTATTTGGTTTTGTGTGTGTGATATATAAGCAATTGTATTTTTGATTGACTACCCGTTCGTATGAAAATGATTAGCTCGGAGCTAACAATATAAAGTTTAATGAATTAATATTATATATGTAATCATAATAATGCAAATAGATAAATCCTTGATTATCAGAAATGCCTTACTTTTCTATTTTGTATTTTCCTACTCTTTATCATTACACCGAATATTAATAAACAATAATATTTAGTAAATATACATTTTATCCCAATTCATATCATGAGTTTCTATTAAGTATTGCATATTTAAACCGATTCTCATGTGTTTTTGGACTCATTTTACCCGTTCATACCCTCCGTGTATGAGAGAAAAGTGGAGAAAATGAGAAAATAATAGTTAACTGATAAATTAAGTTTGCAAAAATACTATTTGAATACCGCGTTTAAAAGCACGAATTTGCACAAAAATAAAGTTTTATTTTAATTTAATATTATTTTTGTTGTTTAACGTTTCTCTCTTAACCTTTTTCTACGCTAACGATTTCTCTCGGCATTTATTTATAATATTTAATCACTCGTTATAATCATAATAAAGTGCATTAAAATTTGCGAGTTAATTTATGGACAAAAATGCATTTTTAATGTTATTATACGCTATTATTACTGGAAATATGGCAAAAAAAGTCATAAAAATCCATAAGAAATTATGCCTTTTTTTAATGAAACTTTATAAGCATTCACACAATAATTAGAATTTGATTATCATTTTTTCAAATGCCCTCTAAAAACGAGGTATAGAAACAAAAAAAAGATCCCAAAAAGTATATACTCTTTAAGCTTTTATGTGGCATAATATGTATGTCTTATGAATATGTCTTCGGTGGACAAGTAATGGCATAAAAAATGTATTTCACTGTTGATATAATACACTCGCGAGTGGTTTGACTGGTTTTCTATGTGTTGATCCTTACAATACACTTAACGGTAATAAAAAAACTCTTGAGTTGTTTTAATACCACTCGAAATGTGATGTTTTTGGAGTCAAAAAATAATACTAGACTCGCGTTTAGTCTCTGAAACAATTTTTATATCAAATATCTTCCGGTTTTTGTTTGGACTATTTTGTATTTTCCTACTCTTTATCATTACACCGAATATTAATAAACAATAATATTTAGTAAATATACATTTTATCCCAATTCATATCATGAGTTTCTATTAAGTATTGCATATTTAAACCGATTTTCATGTGTTTTTGGACTCATTTTACCCGTTCATATCCCCCGTGTATGAGAGAAAAGTGGAGAAAATGAGAAAATAATAGTTAACTGATAAATTAAGTTTGCAAAAATGCTATTTGAATACCGCGTTTAAAAGCACGAATTTGCACAAAAATAAAGTTTTATTTTAATTTAATATTATTTTTGTTGCTTAACGTTTCTCTCTTAACCTTTTTCTACGCTAACGATTTCTCTCGGCATTTATTTATAATATTTAATCACTCGTTATAATCATAATAAAGTGCATTAAAATTTGCGAGTTAATTTATGGGCAAAAATGCATTTTTAATGTTATTATACGCTATTATTACTGGAAATATGGAAAAAAGTCATAAAAATCCATAAGAAATTATGCCTTTTTTATGAAACTTTATAAGCATTCACACAATAATTAGAATTTGATTATCATTTTTTCAAATGCCCTCTAAAAACGAGGTATAGAAACAAAAAAAGATCCAAAAAATATATACTCTTTAAGCTTTTATGTGGCATAATATGTATGTCTTATGAATATGTCTTCGGTGGACAAGTAATGGCATAAAAAAATGTATTTCACTGTTGATATAATACACTCGCGAGTGGTTTGACTGGTTTCTATGTGTTGATCCTTACAATACACTTAACGGTAATAAAAAAAAACTCTTGAGTTGTTTTAATACCACTCGAAATGTGATGTTTTTGGAGTCAAAAAATAATACTAGACTCGCGTTTAGTCTCTGAAACAATTTTTATATCAAATATCTTCCGGTTTTTGTTTGGACTCAAAATAATAGTTCTCTCCCTCTATTCGCGACTATAGGTGAGGCATCGCCACCATCCCTGTCCACGAGAGCGCAGTTAGCTGTGTCTCAACAGATGAAACACTTAGGAGTCGACGCTAAACACAATTCATTTGCGACCGAAAATCAAAGCAAAATTAGTTTAAATGATAAAAACTATAGAAATAGCACTAATTGTAGTCCAGTGTCGGATACTGTGAGCCAGGAGTCAAAGGGATCGGTAGGTGAGACCAAAACCACACCGTTGTCAACGACAGCAACTAAAACCACTACAACAACCACAACCAACCCTACCCGTGCTGGCGATCGTCCAATTAGTTCAAACAATCACTTGAGAGTACCTATTGTTGAGCGCAAAGTCACACCACAGCCCACTAGCAAAGCGCCGGTAGCTAAGCCCCGGGATGACCGCAAACAACAGCAACAATCGCCCGCAGTATCGCAGCGGGTGAAGCTGCCAATGAGTACGGCACCGGTAGTACCGGTAGTGCCACCGCAAGCCCAGGCCAGGGCTCACAAGTCATTACCACAGCGGCAGCAACAGGGGAACGGCAGCTCGAGTTTGACGGATAAGGGCTGCCATTTAGCCACAAAAACAGTTGGCGATCAAAAAGTGACAGAAAGGCATACATTAGTACCGGTTAGTCAAGAAAAATGCGCTCAAAATCGTATTCATAATCATAATAATAGGCAACAGAGCCTATTATACGATACGGCCGGCGCCGCACTCCATAAGCAAACAAACACTGAAAATAATAGCCACGAGTTTGACGAGAATAATACGGAAATTGAAATTTTAAAGTTTAATCAATTGAGCAAAACTTTGACAGACAGTAGCGGTAGTGGTTGTGATAGAAATCAGTCGACGAATGACGATAATAGGGATAACAGCGCTCGCAGTGACCGGTATTTGAGCGCAAACCCTGTGGGCGACGGAATCAAATCCGCGAAATCCATGTCCGACATCGACGGTGACGACCAGTGCTCGCCATACCATACCGGCGCCACCAAACTGAACCCATTCCTGTGCACCATATCCATCAAAAACGGGTCCAACAACCGGATCATCAATCAGACAAACATCGAGACCAACGTCTGCGAGACGTTGGCGGCGAGTGTCGGCCCCTTCGAGTCGATGGGTTCGTCCAACTCGTCCTCATCGCTGTACGACTCGGGCGCCCAGTCCTCCACTGACTCCCTATCCCTGCACACGGAGTCCACGCTCAAGAAGTTCGGCAGTGAGTCGCCGATCACCGTCTTCTACACCGACCCCAACGACAAGATTGTGATAAACGTGTCGTCCGGTGGCGACGGCGGCGATGATCAGCGGTTTGTCGACGCCATGGATGAGCACATCTACGAGGAGTTGGACACGGAATCCATTTACGTGGACACCGACGCCAGTCTGGCGAACGCGAAGTCCATATTCGACGGCGCGTCCAAAGACGAGATCCTGGAGTTCCTCGAAGACGCCAAAGAGCGAGTGGGCGAAGACATTCTGGTGATGGGCGACACCGCCATCATCGACGCCAACATCGAGATCCTCGAAGCCATTGATGTGATCGAAGACATGGCCGACGAGAGTCCAGTGATTACCGCCAAACACACGGACAGCACCGGCCTGTCGAGCAATAGGAGGAACCGGACGTCAAATGTGAGCAACTCGTCCACCGAGTCAACGGCCACCACCACATCGAGCTCTATGGACATGGAGGACGACCTACTCAAGTGTGCCATCACTAACTCGGCATCAGTGGGACAGTTGGTCGAGCGGAACGACTCGGGCGTCGGCGCCGAGACCAGCAAACCGTCGCGACTCCGGAAACTGAGCCTTAATGACGAGGTGGAGCACCAGTGCGCCGGTAATTACAGACACCCTATCTCTAGTTCCCTACCCTTCCCCTCACACATTAAACACAGACTTATTTATAGGACTAAAAAGTTTTATAATGAAAGCAAAAATTAATTAAAAACCTTAAGCTTATAATCAATTAAAAAATACTTATTATATTGCGATAGAATTATATTTCATTGAAAACTTTGTTTCACATCCCTTTCCCCTGTCATATAGACTGCGAGATGCATGTGGACCCGTGCGAGGACGATGAGACGGGTCTATTACATTACCCCCTATTCTGTCACCGGTGCGACAAAAAGCGGTCGGAGCGCAAAGAGATCATCTCCGAGATCGTGGACACGGAGTTCAAGTACGGCCGCGACCTCCGCATCATTCGCGAGGAGTTCTACCGGCCCATAGAGATCGCGGGCCTACTGAGCCGGGAACAGCTCCGGGGCGTGTTTCTCAACCTGGATGAGCTCATTCAAGTGAACTCCAAGTTCTCAGAGAAACTCCAGGACGCCATCGATATCGCCACTGAACAGGGAGATGAGGTATGGAGTATGGACTGGGATGTAAATACACACACTTTACGGTTATTCTGATATGCAATTTGTTGTAATTTTTAGTGTCATTTATATACTGGTTTATACAGCTTTGAGTTTATCAGGGTCCTTTTAGAATTCTTATATACAGCCTATTTAAATTAATACTGAGTTTCACCGGTAACTTATTCTGGTGGCTTATAACAAAATATTCCTATAGCACTGGTAGATTATTTCAATTATATTACATGACATACAGTATTATCACTATTTTGTGATTAATTTAATTAGATTTTTGTTTGATTTGTTTGTTGTCGGATAATAAAAAGTATTAAAATTAAAATTAATGGCACTAGAAATAAGTTGTAGACATCGTATGAGCATTTAATCAGATTGTAAGCAAATTTACAGCATTTTTGATCGCTTTTTATAGTTTTATATTTTAATTTTTATATCACTTTTTATCATTTATAAAATCAAATAATATTTGGGAAATATATAAAGTAATTTTATTTTATATCTGAAATATCATTATAATAATAATAAATTGTGCTGTAGTTTAAATTTATACCTCAAATACTTCTCAATACAAAGTATATCTCTAGTGAATACGTTATAATAATTATCTGATCGCAGATTATAAGCCATAGAAAAAACATAACAAACAAAACGCAAATCGATTTTGGGTTTAATTTGGGAAATAATTTCTCGCGAAATGTCATCAAAAAAAGGATTCAGAGATTTATATGAGATCCTCAAACAAAACAAAAACACTAAAAACTTTTTTTGCCTCAAAAAAGTATTTCTAAAAGTTTTTTACTCATATTATTTGCCATTGAAAACCCATATAGGACTTCACGACCGTCAACATCGGCAAACTGTTCCGGGACTCCTCGGCGATGCTGCACTCGTTTGAGGTGTATTGTGTCCGTCAGGGGTCGGCCGCCCTCCTACTGAACCACTTGGAAAAGGAGAAGGAGTTGTTGAGGATATTCCTCCGGGTCTCGCAAATGGAGAACACATTACTCCGGCGGATGAATCTCCGCTCGTTTCTCGTGGTCCCCGTCCAGAGAGTCACTAAGTATGCCATCAATTATCTCATATACCCGTCCCATACACGCTATGATCTATAGATTTAGTCTAACTGTGGTTTTTTAGATGCAATCAATGGTATTGTCGTTTGAATTAATGGCGAAAAAACTATTGTTTTGTTTAGCCATTTGTGACAAGAAAATACAAATTACTTTCAAAAACACATTTTATATATTGTTTGCATTGATCTCTACATTAAGACAACAAATCAATAATAGATTGTCTTTTGGTTTTTTATGCGACAAAACTAATACCCGTTTGTCTCTGTCCTCCTCCCCCTTCCCATACAGATATCCATTACTACTGAACCGTCTCTACAAAGTAACGCCATATCATCACAGAGATAGGGAAGCCCTAAGAGAATCTCAACAGAAAGTGGAACTACATCTCGAGCACATCAACCAGCAGACGAAGGGTACGATCGGCGCCACCACCAGAATCTGGCGGCGCATCTCAAACCTGTCGACTTCACACCGGCGGCTCAACAGCGCCGACGACATCGGCAACATTAAGCTCAGAAAGGTATGGCCCGTACCGCCCGATAATTATACACTGTCCTGGTAGCAGCACCTGTACGACCAGAATATAAAAATTGTTTTTAGTTTTTTAATACCTTATTATACAAAATACCTTGTATTGAATGCCGTGCTATGAATGCATGTCATTATTATCCAACAATTTTCCGATTGTTTTCCGCATTTAAATGCTTTTGGAAAATAGTTTTCAAACAAAAAATACATATTTTTATTGATTCTCAAACGAACCCATAATCTGTACGCCTGTCCCTAACCTGCCTGTCTGTGCCTTAAACGATAGGCTGCGCTCGAGATCCTGAAGTGGAACCAAGAGGAGACCCAATTCGTGATAATCGGCAAAGTGTTGTTCGCGTCGATCACCGACTATACGGTGAACCGAAAGGCCAAGACCATGAAGTTCCTAACGGCCAGCGCACTGCTCGTCACACTCGGCCGACCCAACCATCACTATCGGCCCGATTTAGTCAACTCGATGGACGCCGACAAGGATATGGTGTTCCCCAGAGATAACACCGGCATTAACGACAGCGTACTGTTGCTCATTAAGGAGAAGTTGGGCCGGTATGCGCTCTGCAAGGTATGTGTGCCCATAGATTGTGTAAAAGTATGATTTTCATGTGTTTTGTTGGTGTCCACCCCTCCCTCCCCCCGCAGGAGATAATGAACCTGAAGTCGTGTGTAGTGAGCAGTGAGAGCGATGGGGACGACATGTTTGAGATTCACGAGCAGATCACCAAAGAGTCGCTACTATTCAAGGTATTCACCGGACTATTCATTAAATAAACTACAAAAACAATTGATTAACGACTCGATTGACTGATTGGTGTGTTTTGTGTTGTCCACCAAAATAGGGCGAGACGTTGACGGAGACCAAGGACTGGTTGAAACAGTTGAGGTACCACTCGAAAGACCTGGGCAATTGGCGCCGTAGGCGTAACGCCCTGGCCAACATTATGATGGTTAGGCAGTAGGTAGTTAGTGCCGCGCCAACCTGTCAGATGTCTGTCCACTTTATTTATATATATATACAGTATATGAATAGCTCGCTGTTCGGGTCTATTGTATAAATAAATGCATTTAATTCTCTATATTCTTGATATAAAGCATTGAATTTACAGTAAATATGACTTAATTTTATAAGAGAATTAACTGTCAAATCATTTATACAGAATATATACACAGTATATCTATATATTATATATGAATTACAATTAACTTAATTATATATTTGTTATAATATATCGCTTTTATATATATTTAATATATATATATATATATATATAACTCGACATTCAATTTGTAAATATATTTTGCTATAATATTTAACATTACTTTTAGACAACAGAGAGAAAAACTAAAAACAAAAAATAATTATTTAATTAAATGTCACTTTTAGTTTAACATAATGTCATATACTTCTAGTCTGTATTAACTCACAAAATACACAATTATAGACGACATAATCATAATCTGATTAATATTTTTGGTCATTAAATAATCGCTTTTATATGTCATTACATATGCCGTTCAGTCTCTTAGCAAAACGATACCAAACGCCAACAGATTTAATCGATTTAAGACTTATAAACATAAAAGCATTTTGCAATTGTATTTAGAAAAATCGGTATTAATTACTTGATTTTGTTTGTCATAATCATAATATCACAGCCCTATCGCGTGTATCACCCCTCCCGCCCCTGATATATATATATAAAACATAAAAGCATTTTGCAATTGTATTTAGAAAAATCGGTATTAATTACTTGATTTTGTTTGTAATAATCATAATATCACAGCCCTATCGCGTGTATCACCCCTCCCGCCCCTGATATATATATATATATATAAATCATATAATTGTATAATTAATATATTCATATAATTTTATATTCATATAATGTATTTGAAATGCGAATTGATATCAAAAAACATATGTCGCGAAATAAAGTAAGCAATTAATAAAAAACTAAACTAAAAAATACGTCAAATGAGAGGACAAATTAAGCGCTACTATTGTTTTGGTCGCCTATGAGTGACTGACTTTGTTCGCTGTACAGCGGGTCCGACCCCCGGATCACTGGCTTCCGGAGCACCGAATGGCGGACTAGTCTCAGCAGCAGCTCAGCCAACGGGTCCCACGAGTCGTAATGAGACAATACGCTGATCGCCACGAATGACAGGTAGAGGGGTATTGTGCCCAAGAAGAACATACGCGGGTACGACACGCCCCGCAGTAGGCCGTCCATCAGTATTGTCAACGGTATGGTCAACGAGACGGATAGGGAGGCCAACAGGGATGAGGTGAGAAAGCAGGCCCTGTATGGCAGCGTAGGAATGGATACATACATCAATTTGTATTATTAAAAATAATATTTATTTGTTAATTAGATTTGTGTGAATAATCTGAAGCTTTGCATTGAAGTGAAAAATAAGAAATATTAACAAAAAAATTATTATAAATTAAACTCAACTTATCATTACATATGATATTGATATTGACATTGAATTTCAATGTCTATTATGTATTCAGTAATGAAATATTAATACGGTTTGGAAACCTAATCCATAACAACCACTAATCAAATCACTCGTAATAGCATTGAACGCGAGACTACATAACGTAACCGATGATTAAGTAATGCATTGATTTTTGGGGGTTTAGTGTGTGGTTAATATGGAAATGAAATAAAATTCTATAAATAATTAAACATTTGATGAATTGGTTGTCAAGGCTTTGGAGACAAGGATTAAGTGAATTCATTGGAAATGAATGGAGAGTGAAGGGAGGGGTCCACACAATAGTCTATAATATAGACTCTAACTTATATAACTGTGTATTTTTATTCAAATATTATATACGGTTTTAATAATTGATACAAAAAATTATTTATTATAATATGATATTATTAATATCTCTATAAAAGACAGCGATTTGCATAGATTTACAACTAAAACATTAACTTTTATAACGAAAACAAAATTTAAAACTATAAAAACATATCGAAAAATGCAAATCTCAAACAAAACAATAAATAAACTAATAATAAATCTGTAGTTTTTGGACTAATAATTGTTTATAAGAAATATGACAACTCTTCCGACACATCGCAATCAATATCTAAACTAAAACAACAACACAACCTTACCAACTCATTTATTTGGTGTTTTTAGATATGTTTGGTATCGGTGTCTTTGAGCCTGTCATGCCAGGGTTACTCGGGTAACTGATCATAATATGTGGTGACGACAGCCCAGCCGGTGAGTTTGTGTTCCAGTTGGCTGTAGTCTAAGATAAAAAAGGCCGGCCATAGGAACAGCAGATTAAACAAACCCACGAAACCTACACACAAACCGATGGGAACGGTAGGGAAAAAGGTACACAAAAAAACGCCAATTAATAACGAAATGAGACAAACAAGTGGACAGACATACCGAAAAACATCGGGATATTCAAGTGGTCCTCATTGGACACCTTATGCCTCAACACCACTGTGTAGAGCGCGTAGAAGAAGGCGCCGCACAGGGCCCAGAGGGCGCCCACCGGCACGCTATCGACCGTCTCTATGGGCGACTGGGCGGTGGTGATGACGGCCACGGAGGCCACGCTCACCACAACGGCCACCAATTTGGTCAACGAGAACGAGTCGCTGACGGCGTGTGAGGGCAGCGCCGGCGCCAACACAATGGCGAACAGCGCGCACGTGGAGGACAGTAGGTTCGCCACACCGGCCTGGCTCATGAACTCGCGGTTGACTATCCTGGTCAACCGGCATTTGGTCTCGGTGCGCTTATAGTCGCGTTCAAACTGCCAGAGGCTCTGGCACTCCGCGACCACCACCCGCGCCCGCCAGCGGAGGGCTAATCGTATAAAATTCATACTATGAATAGGGTTTGAAAAGAGTATAAATCAGACTATTTTTTCCACTGTTCAGAGTGACTTTGGATACGATATCTACCTCCTGAAGGAATATTACCCCCAGAGTTACCCACTCTTTGAACAGCAGGAGACCAGTGCTAAGAATTGACCCCAACTTTCACTGCAAACCCATTCAATAAATTCAAGTTTTTAATTATAATTACAATTTGTTTAGTAATTTATTTATAATAAATGACTTTCGACTTAAACTCAATTCTAAATAGCGGTAAATGATTATAAATAAAGCAATCGTTTTCATGGGTTTATACAACTTTTATCGTTTATTCATGTGATGGAAATTTAACAAAGTATTACAATTATGGTCATAGATTTACAAATAGTGTAGAATTTACTTATTATTAATACCATATCATATCTGTACCCGTATTACAAAATTTAAGTTTTGCCAGTTTTGCCAATGATTAGTGTTTGAGTGGCCGACCCGACAGCAGTGGTGTATAATACTAGTCAATGGGCTCATTGGGACCGTACTGTCCGAGTTTCTGTGGCTATGGTTTGTATAGATTTTTGTGGTTTATTTACTCAACCATTTGTTGTGTTGTTGTTTTAGTTTAGATATTGATTGCGATGTGTCTGAAGAGTTGTCATATTTCTTATAAACAATTTTTAGTCCAAAAACTACAGATTTATTATTAGTTTTAATTTATTGTTTTGTAGAGATTTGCATTTTTCGATATGTTTTTATAGTTTAAATTTTGTTTTCGTTATAAAAGTTAATGTTTTAGTTGTAAATCTATGCAAATCACTGTCTTTTATAGAGATATTAATAATATTACAGTTATATTATAATAAATAATTTTTTGTATCAATTATTAAAACCGTATATAATATTTGAATATAAATACATAGTTATATAAGTTAGAGTCTATATTATGGACTATTGTGTGGACCCCTCCCTTCACTCTCCATTCGTTTCCAATGAATTCACTTAATCCTTGTCTCCAAAGCCTTGACAACCAATTCATCAAATGTTTAATTATTTATAGAATTTTATTTCATTTCCATATTAACCACACACTAAACCCCCAAAAATCAATGCATTACTTAATCATCGGTTATGTTATGTAGTCTCGCGTTCAATGCTATTACGAGTGATTTGATTAGTGGTTGTTATGGATTAGGTTTCCAAACCGTATTAATATTTCATTACTGAATAATAGACATTGAAATTCAATGTCAATATCAATATCATATGTAATGATAAGTTGAGTATAATTTATAATAACTTTCTTTTGTTAACTAAAATATTTCTTATTTTTCACTTCAATGCAAAGCTTCAGATTATTCACACAAATCTAATTAACAAATAAATATTATTTTTAATAATACTAATTGATTACTAAAACTAAACGTATGCATACATTCCTACGCTGCCATACAGGGCCTGCTTTCTCACCTCATCCCTGTTGGCCTCCCTGTCCGTCTCGTTGACCATACCATTAACAATACTGATGGACGGCCTACTGCGGGGCGTGTCGTACCCGCGTATGTTCTTCTTGGGCACAATTCCCCTCTACCTGTCATTCGTAGCGATCAGCGTATTGTCTCATTACGACTCGTGGGACCCGTTGGCTGAGCTGCTGCTGAGACTAGTCCGCCATTCGGTGCTCCGGAAGCCAGTGATCCGGGGGTCAGACCCGCTGTACAGCGAACAAAGTCAGTCACTCATAGGCGACCAAAACAATAGTAGCGCTTAATTTGTCCTCTCATTTGACGTGTATTTTTTAGTTTAGTTTTTTTTATTAATTGCTTACTTTATTTATTTCGCGACATATGTTTTTTTGATATCAATTCGCATTTCAAATACATTATATGAATATAAAATTATATGAATATATTAATTATACAATTATATGATTTATATATATATATCAGGGGCGGGAGGGGTGATACACGCGATAGGGCTGTGATATTATGATTATGACAAACAAAATCAAGTAATTAATACCGATTTTTCTAAATACAATTGCAAAATGCTTTTATGTT